GGAGAGCAAATATCACCAAATATCTACAAATCAAATTATATATATACACTGTAATATGATCGTTATTACAACCATTTATTTAATATATATATATAACGTTCATTTTATATGTGATGTCTATCCTGAAAACCATTTACAGTGATTACCATTATTTACAGTAATCATTAATATTATCACCATATTAGTCTCACCATATCAGTTATCACCGTAATTGTCAGTTATAATATGATGTCTAGTCTGTTAATTTATCCCCAAAAAAACTAATCACCATTGTAAAAGAGTTAATTACCATAATGTGATATCACCATAACGTTCTCTAAAAAAGACTGATCACCGTTAAATATCAATTATAAATTATACATATATATATATGGTTAGATCAACGGTTATCAAGTTACATCTGACCAATACTTAGATCTAGTTATTGATATATTGTTAGATCATTACCATTATATGGTAATGATTCTCCATGTACAATGGTAATGATCTGCTTGTAGATCAATGGTTAATTACAACCAGATCATTCCCATAACCCCATAAAGCATATAGGATCATTATATAATTGATCTGTATAACCATATTAATGGCTTCCAATGTAGATATAATGGTAATGATCTGGTTTTTAGATCAATGGTTAATTACCAGATCATTACCATTATATAATAGATCATTACAACCAGTACCAGATGATCTATAATATAATGGTAATGAACTATACTGGTCCCTAATGGATGATCCATTATATAATGGTCCCTTACAACGGTGAATTACCCTTATATGATCATATAAACGTCCCTTTACAGGTCCCAAAACTGACGCATTAGGCTGGCGTATGGAAGCGTTGTGCCCAACATTGGGCTCCTCATCGAAGCCCTCGCTCTTCTCCGGCACCGTAAAGCTGGCGAAGGCCTGGTGATAGAAACACGGGCCACATATATATATATATATATATATGAGTTCTATATACTGTAAATATGGTGTGTATACATATATATATATATATATACATATAATCATGTATATATATGTATATATGCCTCTATATATATATATATGTAGTATGAAATTATATATGGTATACGGGATACATATATATATATTGTATATTGTATACATATATATATATGTATTGTATATATCTGTATAGTGTGTATATATATATATTGTATATATGTATATACATCATATACTACACTTATGTGACAATATATGATGATATGTAGATATACCAACAACCCTGGGGATGCGATATATGGGATATGGCTGGATTTTTGTTGGATCTTTCATGGGAAAGGACAACCAAAAACCATTGATGTTAAACACCATTATTTATGGCTGGAAAATATTCAACTATCAACCAACTAAATGTCAATGGGTATATATATATAACTCCAACATCAATTGGTATAAACATGTACAACAAAAGAGGAAAAACTTTTACTGCAACAATAATGATGAGGGTTTTATGGGGTTTTGCTGGAGATATTCAGGGAAATGGGGTGTGAATGGGACAGTGGTAGACAAACCCGCATGAATATAGACATGTAGAAACAGCATGAAACGATATGGAACAACAAAGCTGTGGATGCTAATTAGTATTGCATAGACTCTTGAACAAAGAGCTGAACATGTACTAGGACCTGAGTGTTACCTATGCTATCGCAAACATGGCAGCCAGACAAGATATCCCAGTGAGAAAATGGAATAGTTATTCTGTTCTTTTCCCAGGGCTCTATTTACAAATGGCACATGTCCGATTGCCCCTCAACACCTGCTTTTATGCCTACATCTACCAGCTACAATCTTGAAGTAGATGCAAACTATATATCTTGGATGCACCTTTGACATCTTCGGATTGCCATATATCTTGGATAGTTTACCTTTTGCAGATGAGAAAAACAACCTACAGTATATCCTGGAGAGTTGTTGCAAATGATAGATCTTTCTTCAACCGGATTTTTGAAATGTCGCCCCGGCCTTTGCCAGCACCGCCGGGGACACGTCTGGAATGGAGCCCTTGATGAAGTTCTGCCTTAGTGACGTCATGTGCCGGAGGTTTCCGCACATGGATGGTTTTAGAATGACAAGTCCTATGAAATCACCATAAATCACAATTTTTAATGGGTAAATCAACTATACATGGCCATTTTTAATGGATACAATATAATCTGGTTGGTCCATTGGTGGTGCAATTATCATCTTGAAAAATGATGGAGTTCGTCAATGGGAAGGATGACATCGCATTTGTCGAAAAAAAACATGTTTAAAAACAACAACCAGAAATGGACGATTTGGGATAAGCACCATTTTAGGACACCCCTATAAACAAAAATATGGCAAAACTATGCAAAACATGGTTATAAAGTTGGAATTCCGACTAATTATTCAAAGTGCATTTTGGTATTGGGCTATACTTCATTTCAACGACATCCACGTAGCAATTTGAGATTCAACGATTCTCCAAAGGTTGGGGTTTTCCCCGACCGAAGCCATCGCGGCACTCTCCACCCAGGATCAATATGCCGCCGCGAAACATTACCCGAACATAACAAACTGGAAAATCATGGAAAATCACCATCTTTAATAGGTAAATCAACTATTTCTATGACCATATTTTCAATAGCTATGTAACAAATTACCAGAGGGTATCAAATTTAAACCACTAAAAGAAAACCATACACACACATTTACCAGTAGCTTCCCTGTTGTATCCGATCGGCTTCATCCAACCGTTTTTTCAACACCGGCCATGTCTCAGTTCCAGACTTCTCTTCCTCCTCTGTCAACTCAACCTGGCTGGGGCTTCTTATGGAGGTTCATACCTGGGAAAAACCAATATAAATGGACAATAGACGAGTCTTAGTTAATATGACTTTCCCAGCGAACAAAACCTCCATTTAGTTCGGGGATTTCCCATTCTGGGGACCACCATAGATTTCGGATCTCGACTGATCTGCAAGCTGATAGGGACAAGTCCATGCATGGTCCACTTTCGGTGTGCTTCCACGTGGGTACCCACGTGGGAAAAAGGTTCAAGATTGAATCTCAACACCCATCATATCATTCCGCCATAGCTATAGATCAGTCTGCATCACCTGCGTTTTGGAGAATAACCCTTGATCCGGACCTTACTGTTTGAGTCGCATCCAGATTGCCAGACTGGTCATCTTCCGATACCCAAGCGGGTCCCCAAAAATGGGGTGCGAATGCTTGACAAAAAATCATATGGGAGCATGTCTAGTGCACCCTATCAGATTTGATGCCAAGTTTGCCCCATGCGGATCCATGCGGATCCATGCGGCTTGTGAGGTCGCAACATGTCGTAAGTTCCCTTAGAGAAAAGGCAAACCCAATGCCATCACAAACCCTTCCGAAGAACGCAGTTTACGGAAATCGGAAATCCTCTGGGATGATCCATCAAGACCCATCACGATTCATGGACATGAACATGGGATGGTCATGGACATGAAAGCTCAGCAAAAGTAAACAAGATCCATCAAGATCTATCCAGATTCATCAAGATTCATCACGATTCATTACGATTCATCAAGATACATCAAAATTTATCAAGATCCTTTGAAGAGATTTCCCCCTTTTCGATCCATAAATGGAGCAGATGTTCCATCCATTGGAACCCGTTTTGCCTGCGGTGGCTCATCGCCCAGGTCTTCCTCTTCGGCCTCGCCAATAAAACATATGGGGGGTACCCCCAAATGGATGGTTTATTTCATGGAAAATCACTGATTAATTACTGAGTACCAAAAAACTATGACATGGAATGACACTGATTAGTGATCAAAAGAACATGTTAAAAACAGTCAGTGATTAGATGTGATTAGTAATCTGATTAATCACTGATTACAAAAAAGAAAAAAAGAGAGACACGTGAAAAAAATACAGGACGTGGCGTATCTCTTGGCAATGGTGAATAAAAATGAATAAAATACGTGGGACTTTGACGTCAGGATTTCGAAAAAAAGTTTCACCCATCTGCCGAACCCGTTGGATCTCTTTAGGGGATTTGTATATACCCTCTGGTTATTTGTTACATAGCCATGGAAAATCAGAAAATCACCATGCTATTAATAGGTAAACCATCTATTTCTATGGGCCATCTATACCATGGCTATGTAACAAATAACCAGAGGGTATATATATCTTTATATACACTGTATAAATGAAGGATATACCATCTAGTAGAAAATCATGGCTGCTTTTATGCGTTTTTGTTTGATCCATCTTTGTATCCCCACACCAAAATCTACCAAAAATACGGGGTTCCTTATAAACAAAAATATAATAAACAAAACTGCAAATAATTTTGATGATTTGGGGCTTTCAGCTATTTCGGGAGATGTTCATCGCTGGATATCTTGACCATCGACTCATCTGGGGAAAAACATAGTAAGAAATGGGGATGGGTCAAAACCCTGGTACCGTGCCGTGAACCCCAAAATAGCTGGTAAATGGATGTTTCATCCCACTAGAAATGTATCTATAGGTATTGACCCATACCCAAATTGCAATCCATATCCAATTTTCTGGATGGCTGGGAGAGTAGTTATTTAGGCCTGGGATATCAACTGGGATGGCCATCAACGATGATCCAAGGATGACGTACGGATCACTGGGCCATGACGTAACCCTGGTCTCACCCTTCTCCACCTTGGGCTCCTCTGCTTTTGGTTCCTGGAAATCACGAATCACGAGTCGCGTTAGGCGCGGCTAAGGCACTTTCGCAGTTTGGGAATATCAGCCAAATCTTAATGGTCGTTGCGTTGAGGATTCTGAAAACTGTTCAACATTTAAAGACAGGGTCATGTCAACATCGTTATGGCTCATTTGGAACGTATGTCAACCTTCAACACCCACATATACATACCTGGTTGGTGGTTTTAACCATCTTGAAAAATATGAGTTCGTCAGTTGGGATGATGAATTTCCCATATATTATGGAAAGTCATAAAAGCCATGTTCCAAACCACCAACCAGAGACAACAACCACCGAGATGTTAAAACCCTCAAAAGGGGATGACTCCCGCACCATCTGCCCAGGTGGCTTGGAAAGGCATGAACTTGGACACTGGGTGAAAGCTAACATCTACAAGACACCATCTGGTTGGTGGTTTTAACCATCTTGAAAAATATGAAAGTCAATGGGAAGGATTATCCCATATATTATGGAAAAAATGTTGGAAACCACCAACCAGCGATGCGTTTATTCCTTCGTTGCCACCTGGCTGGTTGTTTTCACCAACTGGGCCCCCAGAGTTGGAGCACCTCCTCTTTCATCTCTGCATCCTTTGCCTGAAACGGCTACATATGTTCCATGGGGTGACTTACTGTCTTATAACTAAGTGCTATAAAGGCCATAACTCCATAACTGCTAGTGGAACTAACTCAGTGCAGGGATTTTTGGAGTTCTGAGGTCAAAAGTATTGAGATTTCTGATTTCAGGTTTTTTTCACCTACAATAAAAGGGCAAACTAAAGGGGGTAAACCGTATGGAATGGCAGCCATCCACACTGATTTTTTTACATTTGACGAGTGACGGGTCGTTTTTTCAGTGCACTGCTTCGTGTCTGCACAACCAAAGGATGGTCATGTCCTGCAAGTATAAATATGTACAAATGCTTGCAACGTGTGTGATAGCGGTTTGAGCCAATAAACATAGGATGTAGATGTAGCAACAAAAGGTATACCGACTATAAATACATATAAAGTCATATAAATGAAGTATCCTTCAAAAATGGTTCCATTGCATGTTGTGTTTTGCTTGCTGCAAGTCCCATTGTCATTTTTCCTTCAACAAATAAGCCCTCCATTTACTGTATCAAACTTCTAAAGATTCCGCCACACCTCTGTCTCTTCCGCCGCCGGCTCTTCAGTAGCCTCAGCTGCTGCCTCTTCACCTTCTTCACCCTCCTGGTGCGGTGATAGGTCCAAATTTAAATCTCAGACCCAGACTTGTCAAACCCAGATTCATGAATTACTGGTGGCTTATTTAGTTGAGGCTATACCATTATGATAACTACATGGAAATGTGTAATTTGTTGGTGACTTGTCCTTGATTCCGTGAGGGTCACCTCTCTTGGGGTTGAAACCTACTAAATTTCTTCAAAAAAAAAACATTTCCCAAACATGGCCCATCTTGGGCTGGCCGCAAAGCCTTTTGACTTTACACTCCATGTATGCCTTTCATACAAAACACAACTATCCATTGGACATATCCTTGGCTTTAAATTCGTAAAACACCACCCAGGAAATGTGGTTCGGAATGTACTGGATACGTTCGTGTAGTAGTGGTCTCAGTATCACATTTCGGGATGTTTTTTCTTTGATGGGATTCATCCTCCGCTTCTTGGGTACCCCACGGGTACATTGCCCCATCCCCTAAGTAATTATATCCGAAAGCAATGAAGACTCTGATGAGTGACTCACTTAAATATCCAAACTCAGCACCCCCCAGACTCACATATGTCTAATGATTATTCGCGTGTTTGCTATTTGGTTATGTATTGTTTTTTTTGTTGTGGGGGACCGGAAGTTGGAGATACATGTTATTTTCTTTCTCTCTCTCTCTCTATCTCTATTAACACAACAATATATGTAATCATATATATATATAATAACAATATATTTAAAATATAACTGTACACGAGCCAGCGTCAAAATTATAGGTTAGGGCTGTATTTATATGTTGGAGCGCCCCCTATGATATTGAATTTCCGGTGTAGCCACAGGAGTCTCAGCCCTGACACATTCTTAAGCCATGGTGGAAGTGGAACTGTTAGAACTGGAGATGTCTGTGATAGAATCACTGCTGGATTCCTCCTGCTCAAATGGTTTTGATTCTTCCGCTCTGTGTTTTGATCGCTCCACCTGACAAAGCCACCTCTCAATTAAGTTCCGCGAGTCTGGCAGCAAGGAGCAGCGGACCGTTCATCGTGGTCTCACCTGTGATATCTCTGCTGGCAACGTTGGAAAACATGGGATTGCAAATGCGGACTCCCAACCGTGGCCTGATTCAATGGCGTTGAAGATCATATCCAATAAGATCTTGTTGAGGTTTCCTAAGTCATGGGGTACACCCAAAACATCCATTTTGGGGTTCCATGACTGTAGAAAACCCCATATGCTCTCTCCGCTCCCGCAAAGGATTCTTCTGAGCAAAGGTAGCAGCACTAAAATTCTGGCTGAACATATGACACTGACACAGTGATACCCATATGCTCCATGTATGGAATATTGACCACCATTTGCCCTAAAAATCACCCAGTTATGTAGGTTAATATACCAGCACCATGGAGCATATGGGATAGCTAAAATGCCGATTAAGGATGACTTGAAAGCTCATGTTTTCCATCATTTTCCCATATTTTCCCAAGATTTCACGGCCGAAATCGTCGGTCAGGTCAACCGGTCAAGCCGTTCTCTTCCGACGGTACCCGGGAAGACCTTGGCCTCCTTTGCCTCCTTGGCTTTCTTGGCTTCTTCGGCCTGAACGGAGATCGGGAGATCTGGGATGCAGGGGAGTGAACCAAAGAATTGTGTAGGATTCTATGGGTTTTATAAGGGTTTTATAATCCATCAAAAGAGAAATAATTCAAAGATCTTAGAGAACTATATGATTCCCAAATCAGAAACGAGCATGAATGAGTGAATGAACTCGGGTGGATTCCCAAAAACTACAAAGAAATGAGGTGAGTTGCTTTCCGAGATCGTTTTTTTTTTACAGTATAGCTAGATCCATCATGCTGTCACATTCACGTTAAGATTTGAAGGCTTCTTGATCCCCAGCTAAGTTAGTTTGACATACTTGAACTATCAAAAAGCAAACATTTGTGGGTCCAATGGTAAATCCATCTTGAAAGATCTAATATATATATATATATATATATATCTGAAAGGTTTCGGATCGCAAGGGCCCACACCCGCTTCCGTCCTTAACCTTAGCGGAATCCTGTCCTGATTCCGCGGGCCATTTTCGTTGCAACTTTCGTTTGGTCTGAACTGGCAAGCCCCTGGACCATCGGAACGTGCTCTGCCTGATCGGAAGACAGGCATCACCTTTGCATTCGGTGTCCCAGCACCGTCATCAACCCTGGGTGGCCTTTTTAGCTGGACAAGAACTCGGCTTTTGTGTATGTGCCAGGCAATTTTGTTCTTCCTTGTTTTGGCAACGATTCTGATCAAGGTGGACCTGACTTGCACTGCACACGCCATTGGCATTGTCTCTGAGGAAACTCTTGTAGAGGGCTACATTCTCCTGACTGACTTTGACCACGGCGAACAATACAATCCGCAGATCTCAACGTCGGAAACGAGCACGAGCAAGACTACAGTGGCATCTCTTTCAAAGAGGTTTTATCTCCTTGACAAGAAGTCAGCTGAAGCAACTTGCATCGACTCTCAGTTCCCATCATTCCAAGGACAGCCATTTTATTGCGAGAATCAGATCAGCAATGTCTTCTACGAGCAATCCGCCGTGGAGATGTTCGAGCTGCAGACAGCTGAGGAAGCATTCAGCGTTGCACTGCACGACATGTCAGATGCCATGGCATCTAGTCATCGATCGGACATACGTCCATGGTGCAAAGTCCCAGCAATGGACAGCGGAGCAAAATACATACGCTGCGCCCTGGCAGGGATCTCAGCAAGGTTATTCTCAGTGGGAGCAATCATGGGATCAGTCTTCTCACAACCGTCCCAAGACGCCGAGAAAGAAATCGAGGTCAAAAAGTGCCAAAGGAAACAAGACCCCTCATGGCACTCCAAGGGGCAATCAGCCGCAGCCGCAGGGACCCATGATGCCTATGCACCCGATGTCAGGTGCACCCATGGGACCTCCAGGTCAGATGTCGGCAACCATGCCCATGATGAATGGGGGCATGCAGCCAATGCAATCGATGCATTTGATGCAGCCTCCTTTCCCAGCCAGTGGGACACAAGCACCATTGCCGCCGCCAAGCACACCATGGCAGGCCAACACAGCTGGACCGCCTCTTCAAATGCAAGCGGCACAGCCAGTGACTTCGGTCATGGGAGCAGGATTTGTGATGCCATCGATGCCCAAGGCGCCATCTATTTCGCCAATGTCGGAGCAGGTTTCGCCAGAGCTTCTGTCCATGCTGAAGCAAGACGTGGCCGAGCTTCCACCTCATATCCAAAAAGCCGTCAAGGAAACAGCTATGAAAGAAGGAGTGAAGGATGGAGCGACAGCCACCAGGAACCTGCATGCGGCAGCGACCCATTTGGGTCACATGCGCAAGGCCTACGAAGATTCGCTGATGGCCAGAGCGCAACTGCACAACAATTGGAAGAAATTCTTGTCGGATGCCGTCAAATTATGGCAAGAATATGCAGCCCAATTTGCAGCTCAGGAGAAGAAGCTGTCCGAGCAAATTGCCACTTCCAAAGAAGCCTTTTTGGAAGCCAAAGTTTCGTCAGCCAAGGCTCACGAGACAGCAGGAGAAGTGCAGGAGATTTCGGACGAGGAGATCGGAGAAATCACAACTGCTGCGTCTGGATCAGCCCAGAAGATCACAGACACTATGGAAGACCTCAACAAGTCCCTGGTCAACCTTCAGCAGCAGGCGATGTCGATCGTGTCAGAAGAAGAAGTTCACCTGGCGAAGCGACCACGCAGACGCCATCCTGCAGAAGAAGACTCAACCATGCACGCGCCACTCCAAGGAGAAGACGCAGAACATGGCAAGCCTTTTGGCTAGGCTGGTTGCAAGTGACGTCAACGTACTTCAACCTGAAGCCAGTTGAGGAAGTGTGCATTTTGCCCAATGAATTGCTTGTTGCCAAATGGACCCACCCAATTACCTTTGAGCCGGCCTTTATGACAGAATGGGGAGCTGTTGAAAGCGCCAGACAATTGTCTTTTGAGCTTGGGACCTATGATGGCATCGTGCGACAATCAGTTCCTTCACTTCGTGATCATTTTCCTTATCCACCTCATTGTCATGGCAAAGTGCGCTTTCATGATGATGTTGATGTTCTGGTTGGTGATGACACGACAAATTTGATGTCAAATTTTTCAATTCCACATCATGCAGTTGCTCAAGTTGATTTTGGCGGGTCTTTGTCGACCATTTTCCAGAGCCTTCACAACTTTTCGAGCAGGACTGATGTTGATCCGCTGTCAAGTTTGGCCGTGTGTATCTCCAGTCCTCAATGCCCCATTGCCAAGTATCGCATCACTGACCAATGGCAGAATCCTATACCATCTGACATGCGTCAAGAGACAGGACAACAGGAGCCAGATCCCGATGTGATCCCAGACCCTGTTCATGCACCACCATTCATACATGACCTCCTTGAATTGGCGGAAAGACATGGAGCATTCACAGACCTGGACGCAGAGGATGTTTTCAGAGTGCGTACTTGGTACATCCATCATGTTCATCAACAACGCAATCTTGAATATCGAATCCTTGAATTTCATGAAGACTGGAGACGATGGGATCCTGACCTTAGAGGTGCGTGGAGGGACCACATAAGGCCTGATGAAGAAGTGGACTTCAATGTCGCTTTTCCGGACCCTTACCGAGGTTCTCTGCCACAGCCCACGCATGCTGACATCATTTTGTCACAAGGTACCTGGATTCATCGCCTACCTGGAATTGTCACAACGCATTATTCTGGAAGCTCAGCGCAACAATTTTCATTTGCTGTTGCGGCGTCTTTTGGACCAATGATTTCTGGATTTGAAATTGTCGAAGCGGCAGATTGTATGCATTGGTGCAACGCCATCAATCACCGCTGTTTGATCACATTTGGTTGGAATGAAATCCCCTGTGACCATCGCCAATTGCATTTCATGAGAGCAGGACATTCTTTTGTCCTTCATATCCAGACAGAGTGGCCAATCACAGCTGCTGCGAGCGACCATCAACATCATGGGGAAGTCAACCAGCAGGTGGCCTCCCATTCCCAGAGTTCATGCCAAGCTGATGATGCCATGGATTATGTGAATGAACAACCAGGATCGCCCGGAGGACAGCCGCCGCATGAGCATCCAGATGCGGATCCACATGATTCTGCAAGTGAAGCCAGCATCCACAGTGCTGACAGAAGTATCCTGGTTTATCGTCTTCATGCCCGAGATGAGCATTGCTTTGTCACATGGTCCACATACATGACCATTCTCGATGGTATTATTCATGCTTTGAGACTGCCGCGCAGCCAAATCAGAACCTTCCATCGACTTGCAGTAGTGCCACCGGACATCCATGAGATCTCTGAGGAAGCCGTTATTCTCCAATCAATACATTTATGAAATACCTTTGGGCCACAGACCCAGACCTCCAAAATGCATATCAGAATTCCAAAATGCATATCCCAAAATGCATATCAGTTTGGTAGCCTTTAAGAAATGCATATCAGGGCAGCTCTTTAATTGTCTTGCTATCATCAATGTTGAGCAAGGTGTCTAGGTGCAACATTGTTTCTCTATTTTATTTGCTCTGCTATGTTGGGATGTCACTATTCATCAGGTCCTATCTGCTAACGACTATCCCCAAACCACCATGTAGTCAATGAACAAAGAAAGCTTCTAGAGACGCAATGTTGGCTTTACTTGCATTTTCAAGTGATGTAATCATATATATATATGTGGTCCTACGACACTAGTCAGTAGTCACTACATTGCATGGTCTGAATTTACTGTTATTTACACTATTTTTTTTAAATACATGTACATCATCTTTCTTCAATCGTCATTTGCTCCAGTTCCAGCAAACCCAAGGCCCCAAGGCCCTTGACTCCATGATTGAATCCAACACCAGTGACATGTGGCGGACCCAAAAGTAATATGCATTTTGAGCAGAGGCTGTAAAACATACTCAAAAAATATGCATTTTGCAATATGCATTTTTCAGAATTTGCTATGGGGTGAAAATATGCATTTTTCCTAGGTAAAATGCATATTTTTTGCATATTCTCTGTATATTCGACACATTTCCCAGCAATTCACCATGACAATTCCACCAATATGCATTTTTGAGGCATTGGACTTATGCAAAAAATATGCATTTTACCTAGGTAAAATGCATATTTTTTGCATATTTCCAGGGCTTCAAAAATGCATATTTCCACAAAATGCCTGATTTCAACCATTTCCATCAATATACATTTTTGAGGCATTGGGAATATGCAAAAAAGATGCATTTTTTCTAGGTAAAATGCATATTTTTTGCGTATTTCCAAGGCACCAAAAATGCATATTTCCACAAAAATGTTTGATTTCAACCATTTCCATCAATATGCATTTTTGAGGCATTGCAAATATGCAAAAAATATGCATTTTACCTAGTTTTGCGTATTTCCAAGGCACCAAAAATGCATATTTCCACAAAAATGTTTGGTTTCAACCATTTCCATCAATATGCATTTTTGAGGCATTGCAAATATGCAAAAAATATGCATTTTACCTACGTAAAATGCATATTTTTTGCGTATTTCCAAGGCACCAAAAATGCATATTTCCA